AATACCTTGGTTGGAGGTTTATCTTTGGGTTTCTATCATTATATGGTGGTGTCATTTTAGTTCTCATCTACTTTGCACTTCCTGAAACTTTTCATCACGTCCAATCGTCACTTCCCACTATTTCACCTCTTAAAAAGCATTTTAACCCTTTCTCTCCATTTGTTTTACTTCGTTATCCAAACATATCACTGACTACATTTTACATGAGCACAGTTTTTGCTATTATGTACATTCAGTATACCCTTTTTCCAAGAACTTTTTCTTCAAAATTTAATCTGTCCACTTCTACCATCGGTCTTGTATTTCTTTCCCTTGGTATTGGATACTCATTGGGAAGTGTGATCTCTGGATTTTATTCGGATTTCTTATTGTCGAAAATTAGTGCAAAACATGGTCATATTTATCCGGAAATGAGAATAAACAGTGTTTGGTTTGGTTCCGTGTTAGTTCCGATGTCGCTTTTAGCCTATGGATGGTCGATAGCGAAGAATTCTCATATTGTTTTTCCTATATTATCAATGTTTTTTTGTATGTATCTCTTATATTATTTCCACTCTTTTGTAAATTTAAATTTAAACAATTTTTTTTTGTTCAATTATAGTTGGTTTTGGAGCATTTATAATATTTAATTGTATATCAACATACTTAATCGATGCTTTTCCTAGTCGAAGCGCTTCAGTAATAGCATTATACAATTTTTTCAGATATATAGCTGCTGCAGTAACGTCTATTGGCTCGATACCACTTGAAGACGCGTTGGGCACCGAATTACTTTATACTCTTTTAGCTATATTTACTGCATTGTGCATTTCCTGTGCAATAATTGTATATTTTAAAGGGAAAAAGTGGAGAGAATGTTTTCAAAATTAAATTCTTTATATTATTAGAAAATTAATGAGCTTAGTAAAAGAAATTTATGTAAGGCCAGACCAATTTAATTCGGTGGTTTACATTACCCCATTCTGCCTTCCCCATTTTCCCCCTCATTATATATGCGGAAAATTTCGGAAAACTTTTATAATATCGCGGATCCTTTCGGAGAAAATTTTTATAATAAACTCCCTCCAGCCTCCCTCCCCCTCTTTTGTGAGAAGGATGTAATGTAAACACCGAATTAAATTGGTCTGGCCTAAACTTATTAATAAAAAAAACTATTCATAATAAAAAATTATTATTATACTGTATATATGTTAAAAAAATAATTATAAATTTTATATAATAATATTATAATTTATTCTGCTTCGCTAAACAAAATACTTTAAACTTCCAAAATAGTCACACCGGTATTTGGCATGATTCCGCTATAGTCACCATGATTTTATATCTTATAATATGCATTATTAATACACGGGTGTTTGAACACAGGTATGTTGATCTCAAAATTTTGATTATAAAACACACTTCCGGATTTTAATAAAAAAGATTCCTTGCAAAATTTTAGCATAAATTATAACCTTTTCTGACCCTAGGCTAACCTTACTCTAACATTAATTTTTGACTTACAATTTATATGTTACACAAATTCGTATTAATTAATGTCGCAGCTGGTGCTGAAAACGGCTGATGCTGAAATTTGGGGTCTCGATTTAAAAATATAAGCCCTACTAAAATCCACATATACTTGTTAATTATCATTTCTAACCCTAAACACTAACTCAACTATAAAAAAAAAGCGGGGAAAAAACACCCTAAAAAATTTTTAAAAATTCATATCAAAATAGATCCGAATTTCAGCATCAGCCGTTTTCAACTTCAGCTGCGACAATTAATTTAAAAAATACACTATAATACAAATTATTAATATTAATATTATTTAATAATCTTATTACTATTTTTTAATTATAATAACCTGTTTAAAATTTATTTTCTAATTATAGTAATTTGATTGAAGTTTATTTTTTAATTATAATGATTTTGATTATTATTATCTCATACAATTAGTAATTAATAATTTTGTAAATATTTAGTAAAATTACTAGATAATAAAAATTATTTAATTTGTAATTTACTGATTATAATATATGTATTAATTTAAATTAAATATTATAAATTGATAACAATTAGTATTTTAAATTAATAAATCAATTCAAATAGGATTAGATGATTTTAACCTTATTTTTTACTAAATATAATCAAAAATCATCTAAAATCAATAATAAATAATATTATTTAATAATCTACTATTAGTATTTTATTAGTTTATAATCAGAATATTTTTTATATTTAGGCTATACAATTGGTTCTCATAATCTGGCTAGCATTACTTATCGATGCATTCCGTTTAACAAACCAGCTGCCAAGTATTAGGTTTATTGCTAAGTTACTGCAAAAGGGCGGGATGGAAGGGCGATAGAGCCGTCTTCCTGCAAAGCGTATGATAGGAAAGAGAAAGATGACACCCTTGAATATATTGTATTTACAAACACGCCCTTTTCCTTCACCCTATTGATTTCGTATTGAACTGATATGATAATACCCTCTTACTATCAATAAAAACCTGTATCTAACAATGCAGCAGTCATTAAAAAACATTCTATAAAAGGTTAAAACGACAAATCATTAATCATGCGTGAGAAAACTGATCTCCAAAATTAGTGTCATGAGAAAATTGTGATCTGTACAAACGCATAATCTAATCAACTTTAAGATTTATTTGCCAGTAAACCATACACTTACGTTCCTAGTATGTATTAGTTTTAAAATTTTACCCTCCAATAAGTTTTATAATTCTGTCTTTAGTTATTTTCGTAAAACTGTATACTACTATTATTTCCTGTAGTGACGAGAATAAATCATACCAAAAAAAAGATAACTCTAACTGCATCAAAGCACCAAAAGAAATCTCAGTAGTCCTTATCTCCAAAATTAGTATGTAATTATGGCGTATATGGAAACCAATCTCCAAAATTAGCATGTGATTATGGCGTATGAGTAAAACAATTTCCAAAGTTAGTATGTAATTATGGCGTATGAGGAAACCAATCTCCAAAATTAGCAGGCATATGAAAAAAAACCGTAATCTGCGCAAATATATTATCCAATCAACTTCAAGATTTTGCCTTCGATTTAGATTCCAGTAAAACCATACACTCACGTTTCTGACACTCACGTTTCTGGTATTTGCTGGTGCCAAATAAACCTTCTTCGTAACAACGATATCGAGTGGCAATATAAAGTGACGGGTGTTGATGTATTAAAAGTTTTGATAACTTACGTATGTATGTACGTACTGTACGCACCTGCTGATATCCGCCTAACCAGTTTTGAAACCAGTGAAATTTCATTGTACTTGAAGGTAGTAAGTAACAGTAAGTAACCTATTAAAACATAAAGTGAGAGACGAAAAATTAAATAAACTAGAACTATATTACACTGAGCGACTACAAATACAATAGCAAACGATAGTAAAAATAAAATTTTTGGACACAAAAATTGGTTGCCCTATATGAATTTATATATCCGGTTTCTAGATATTTAATATTTTTTACTTTTTTCCGTCGGATTTGTTACCGAGCTGATGAAATGATCATCACCAGAGCGCAGAGCACAAAATTGTATTGTAAAATGCCGGAAATTCCGGTTATGACTGACAAATTCCGACACAATTTTTTATCAAT